GCCTTGGATCTAAGCCCTGGGCATTGCTCTCTAGGAGCCTTCGAACATCCTTCTTTTCGTTCTCCCACCATTTCGTCAACAACTCATTTTGACGTTGACGTCGGTCGCACCTCGAAAATGCAGCTGATATATGCTGACAATTGCTGACATATTTGCATCATTTCGACTTGACCTGGTAGTGCATTATGGCTCATGAATCACGACTCATGACAATCTCACGCCCTGAGGTCACCGCAAAGTTTTGCTCGCTTGGAGCCTTCCTATTTCCTCCTCGTTTTGCTGCGCCAATTGCATGCGGACTTGAAGCTGACACCAAAGTCCGAAATTCCTCAACATCGCAGCTGACAGTGCCTTTTCGCATGGTAATAGATTTCAAGGTTGGATGCAGGTGAAATAAATGGTGGATAAAAGGTTGATTGATAGAGGCTGGAGGAAAGGTGGATAAAGGGCTAGAAGTTGGATAAAGGGTGGATAAAAAATGGATCAAAGGTTGATAGAGGTTGGATGCAGTGGGTCGAGGTATGAAGGTTGGAAAAAGGTTGGCTGAAGGGCTGAAGGGCGCAAGAAGGGTGGATAAAGGGTTGATAGAGGCTGGAGAAAGGGTGGATAAAAGGATAAAGGTTGGAAAAGGTTGAAAAAAAGGATTTAATGATGGATAAAAGGTTGGTAGAGGCTGGAGGAAGGGCGGATAAAGGGATACAGGTGGGATAAATGTTGGATAACGGGTCGGTAATTGGGAGATATAGGGTTGATAGAGGCTGCATGAAGAATGGGTAAGGGGGTAAAGGTTGGTCATAGGGTGGATAAAGGGTGAATAGAGAGTGGGTAAGGGAGTGGCAGGGGTTGATGGAGGCTGAAGGAAGGATGGATAAAGGGATGGAAGGTGGATGGATGGTGGATAAAGGGTGGATGAAGAGTGGGTCGAAGGAAAAAAACATTAGATAAAGGCTGGATAAAGGGTGAGTAAGGGGTTGATGCTAAAAGATGGACAAAGGGTGGAAAAGGGGTTAATAGAAGCTGGATGACGGGCGGGTAGATGGATAAAAGTTGAGGATGGATAAAAAAATTGGTAAAGGGTGAATAAAAGGCTTCTAGGGGCTAGAGGAAAAGTTGATAAAGGGACAGCTTGGAAGAAGGGTGGATAAAGAGTTGATAGAGGTTGCAGGGCGGTTAGAGCGATAAAGTTATGACAAAGGATGGGTAAAGGGTGGATAAAGGGTTAGCAGAGGCTGGATGCAGAGTGGGCCGAGGTATAGAGGTTGGAAAAAGGTTGGCTGAAGGGCGGGTAAAGGGTAGGTAAAAGGTTGACAGAGGCTGGAAGAAGGGTGGATAAAGGAAAAAAAGGTTGGATAAGGAGCGGATAAAGCATGGATACAGGGCGGATAGGGTTGGGAGAAGCTAGATGAAGGGTGGGTAGAGGATGTAGAGGGAAAAAGGCAGGAGAAAAGGTGGATAAAGGGCTGATGATTGGTGGATATGGGGTTGAGAAAGGCTGGATGAAGAATGGGTAGGGTCGGGCGCAAAAGGTTTGTCATAGGGTGGATAAAGGTCGGTGGGTAAAGGGCTGGTATTTCGTTGACAAAAGGTTGATAGAGGCTGGAGGACCGGTGGGTAGAGGGAGATAGGTTGGATAAAGGGTGGATAAAGAGCGGGAAAAGGGTGGGTAAAGGGTTGATAGAGGCTGGAGCAAGGGCGAACTACACGGACCTTCAGGTTGGATAAATGGTTAGTAAGTCGTTCATAAAGGGGGAGAGATTGGAGGAAAAGTTAGATAAAGAGACAGAGGTTGGATAAAGCTTGGATAAAGGTGGATAAAGACGGGTAAAGGGCGGGTAAAGGGTTGATAGAGGCTGTTGGAAAGGTGGACAAGAGAAAAGAGGCTGGATGCAGGGTTGATAGAGGCTGGAGGATGGGTGATCGAAGTGGCACAACGATGGGAGGAAAGAATAAAGGTTGGATACAAGTGAGAGAAAAGGCGGATAAGGGGTTGATAGATAGAGGGCGGGTAGAAGGATAAAATTTATGTAAAGGGTGGATAAGGGTCATTAAAATCATAATTACTGTAGAAATCGCATGTAGTGTAATCGCAAAAAAAGGTGCGAGAAAGGCGCGGCTCAGAGATTTTTTTACTGCAAACGTCAGAGCTATGGGGCAACAAAAAGATCTAAGCGCACAACTTGAATTTCAATTGATAAGTTTTGAAACCAAATCTGTCCCATATTTTCCTTCTCACAGTCTCTAAATAAAATGGATTTGTTCGAACTTTTTGGGGCTCATCTGGGGGAGCCGCAGTAGGTTCTACAAAATGCTTGTGCACGCGTATGTTACTACAAAATGCAGTGCGCATGACAAAAGTCATCCAGAAACCAGGACATTTGCTCTAGAATGAGGCTGCTTCAAGGGGGGGTGAGTGCCATTTTACAAGGTTTGCAAAAAGAACTGCGGCGTCGCAGGTTCATTTTTCAAAAAGTCGGTGAACCTATTTGAAATAAAATCATAGGTACCCAGCCAACTTAGCTCGAATTGTCCCCAATGGGGATTGGGAACCCGTCTGTGCACAATAAAATTGACAGTGCCCAAGGTACTCCTTCCCGCATCATGATACCCGACCCGACTTTAATAAAAAAGTGAAAATAAACTAAAAAATCAATATCTGGAAGCCCCAAAAAGGACCCCAATCCCCCTGTTACTGTTCTTATTTGGGAGCACCGGTGGAGGATGTGAATATTTGCCCCCTTGCAAACTACAAATTGGTCTTGGTCAAGTCTGGAGGAGCTACAAAATGCAACTGACATTTTATGAATGTTTCAACTTCCTCAACATATATGCAACTACAAAATGCACATGAGATTTTATGTTGGATGCTTCAATTAACTCAACATATACAACTGCAAAATACAAATAAGGATTTTAAATGAAACAACTACAAATGAATGCGACTACAAAAAGGTTGGCCTAACTCCGCTTTTTTGTACAAAACGACCCCTTGCTGGCAATCTGTACTGTAGCCCAAGTCCTCCCCTTTATGTAGCTGCTTTTTGATCCCGGATTATCATTGTATATCTATCTGTGTGTGTGAATGAGGAAAACAAAACATCCTTATCCCTTTCCCGTGATATTACATGCCCTCTAGAAACTCTGCTATGGTGCTGGATCTATTCATCTTGGGGGTCCTTACTGGGGGAAGTGAATATGTGGGGGAAGGGATTACAATTATTCAAACTTATTCCTGCAACTTCTATCTCTCCAGTGGAATCAAATTTGTGGCTAAAATGAAAGCGCTCACCACTTACCTTTTGGCTTGCCCTGTTCCAGCTCGTAGAACTGCATGCTCATGGAAAAACATATCATAATACCACATGCACGGCATATCATCACCATGTTTTATGATTCAATCCCCATCTTTCATGCCGATGGTTCTCCAATAGCTCTCCCTATCTTTAAAAACCGTTAAGCCATATCATGATTAAATCCCAATTGGTTGCGTTTATCTCAAAGGTCAATCCTCATTTTTCATGCTTTCATTCAACTGGGCAAGCTCTGCGGCCAAGTCGCCGATCCAGTAATCACCTGTCCTGCATCTGGAGGCTTGAATTCCCGATGTGTGAGTTTAGCTTGAACCAATGTATGATTGGATGTATCATCATAGTTCAATCCCGACTTGCAATGAATGCAAAATTTAACGGCCTTGCTTCAGAAAAGGCGTTTTTACCTGCATATTCCATGGTAATTTGCTGTGTCACTGCAAATATAACAACAGACATTTTATTACCATACATGTACTCATGGCTGTGGGCAAAACTTAAACTATGTCAGTATAAGCTCACCATGGTAACCAGAAGGGCACAAGACCAAGTAAAGGAAACACTTAAAGCAACCTTTACAAACAACTGTATCTATATAATGGCTGCCTTGCTTTTCATTGATGCAGCAACTTACCATGAAGTATGCAAAAAAAAATGCAACTACTTGAGGAGGAACAGTAGGTTGGAAAATGGGTGGCATATAAGTCACCTACGCCCTTGCAGGCACAAGTGTTCTACATTTCTCCTGCATATGCACTGGTATTCTTCCAGGGTTGCAATGACTTTGCTCATAAGAGTTGGCACATGGGAAGGACAGCTCCAACCTACACTTTCTCCAAAAATATTTTTCCTATATATTTCACAGTAATTTGCTATGCTACTGCATATCTAATACAGGTATCCTGTTACCAGAATTGCTTGGCTGTGCTTTTTATGATCTTTTTTGTTATCATAAATGTACTCATGGCTGTGGGCAAAACTTAAACTATGTCAGTATAAGTCCACCATGGTAACCAGAAGGGCACAAGACCAAGTAAAGGAAACACTTAAAGCAACCTTTACAAACAACTGTATCTATATAATGGCTGCCTTGCTTTTCATTGATGCAGCAACTTACCATGAAGTATGCAAAAAAAAATGTCACGACTTGAGGAGGAACAGTAGGTTGGAATTTGCACTTTCATTTGCTAAAAGAGTTCCACTGGAACTATGATGTCAACCAAAAGGCGACCTGGCAGTCTAATAAAAAACCACCAATGCAAATACAAAGTGCTATGTATATGTATGTATGTATATATATATATACTGTCTTTGCAATAGCTGTATACCTAGGTAGTACCTATACATTAATATATACATGAAGTACCAACTGACACAATAAATCTCTATGTTTCAAGATGTTGTTGGGCAAAGAAAGAACTTTGCCATTCATGCACTAAGACCACCTATCAAAAAACAATCGAGCTACAAAAAGCAAGCAATCAAGAATAGAGCTAAGGATTAACACACCAAAAACAGTACATCTTCCAAGAACTTTGATCTTTCATATATGATCAAAAGATGAAAAATGATCAAAAGATGAGAAAAAAAAAACGAAAAATAGTCAAAAAAAACGCTTAAAACCACGTATTTTTGGGGACCTGGTGGCGTCCCACTCTCTAATTATATATATAAGGCATACATACATATATTCATTCATATGTGTGTGAGAGGGAGGCAGAGAAATCGAAAAATGTCATCTTGGATCCACATGGTATTGACACATCTGCCACCAAGGAACTGCTCTCCCAGAGCCGACAAAGCCCGGAGCGGCAAACCTTCTCGAAAACGCACGTCCTCCAGGGCGGCGCGCTCCAGAGCCTCCGGCAAGGCCTTCTGCAGAAACTCCGACCAGCTGAACCTTGGAGAACGACCCGCGGAAACGTTGGGACATCGAAGGAACCCGAAAAGCAAAATGGTCAACCTGGGTCTGTTGAGAGGAAGTGTACAGCGCGTACTTTTCTGAGACATGCCGTAGTCATCTGCTAAACTCATCTGACTTGGACCGATTTGCAAGTTTTTTTTTTTTTTTAACGTGGCATTGAATTTCGTGGCGGGATCAGCTATATACCACCTTTGCTATGGCACTGCAGATTCAAGCCAATGGATTCACAACAGCAAACCTAAACTGGATTCTTCAATAAAAGACCAGTTTTGAAGGCAGCCCCACTAGAGCCACAGCCCAGCAGCTTCTGATAGGTGGAAATGGTGAGGTGATGTGAAGCCTCGCCTTCCACTGCCTCGCCCTTGTGGATGGTACCACGCGGCAAATACAGCAAGTCCCCAGCCTTCAAGACCAACTCCATCAGCGGTTCCCCTGGAGATGACATGAGATTTCTGGGTTCCACCAGGGAGTTGATACAACTGTTCGAACCGACACAACTGGACCCAAAACGGCATCGACACCGCCAACACCAATACACCAATGATAGAACCTTGTGGGCATCATCACCGCTTGGCCGTGTGCAATTCCCAAGAAAAAGAGTCATTCCCCCAACTCAAAAATCCAAAAAAATAGGATGTTCGGAAGCCACCCGCCTAGGTCCTTTTCATCATAGTCCCAGCAATAGCTCCGAGGTAATGGTCCCGTGGGACATCGGTGCAAACGCCACCGTTTGGCTCCCTCCAGCTGCAGCATGAAAACCTGCCATCCAAAAGAACGTCAGCATCTGATCACCATTGACTCACCACAAGATTGACATTTCATTAAATGACATTAACATAAGATCACATAGCAATACATAGCATAACCTGTCATCATGGACGGGTCTCGGCTCGCGAAGCTTCAGACTTCTGTGCCTCAACCTCATCGTGGTGGGCTTTGAAGCCACGACCCCCCGGCGGTGTTCGGAAGCTGTTGGCACCCCAAAGGCATCCGAAGTGCGCCTCCGACTTGAAACTGTTCTTCACGAGTGCCAAGTTCAAAATCAGCTACAGTAGATAGATATATATATACTATATACTATATATATAATATGTATATATATATGTGTGTGTGTGTGTTTTATGAGTTCCACAGTTTGACCCTCCGCTGTGCGCCTCCAATTTCGAGAGCAAGCACGAGACTTCCAGACAGAAGCGCTGGGGATGGACGACCTGCACCGAGCAGCCTTTCCTTACCTGGCGAAATGACACGTCCAACAGGCCACGCTGGAACTCGCAGGAGATCCGATGTCAGGTGATTGCTTCAGGCATGATCATCTCCACCATGCACCCTCCGGTAAACATACAAAAAGCTATTGAGAATGGCCATTTATAGTGGATTGTCCCATTAAAAATGGTGATTTTCCATAGTTATGTTAGTTTACCAGAGGGTAAGTCACTAAATCGACCTTGTGCCACTGGAATGATTGGATAAATCGGCCTCTTGCTGAACGACGTCCACTTTGGCACGGCCACTGCCGTTGCACATGATTTGCTTCCCATCTGGTCCACATCTCAGGGGCAGCACATAGCCAGCGCATCACGCGGAGGTGCACATCATGCAAAGGCATGTGAAGCATGGTGTCATCAAGTTATGACAGTTATGATCCATGGATATCCATGGTAGAGTCACTTTGGATCACTTTGGCACATGCTATGGCCCTGGCCCTTTCAAATTGACAAACCTCCAACCTACACGCTCATTCAAGTGCCCCTGGCTACCCCCACCTGGCAAGGTTGATGTCTTTGCCGAAGGTCAAACCAGTGGAAGTCTGCAACTGCGCCTGCAGTCAGTCACTCTGGAGCGCTGCAGGTGGAACATACGAATCGCAAATGCAAATCTGTTGCACTTGCAAAGGTGGAATGCAGACCCCAAACACAAGTTTGATGATGAAGGGTATGGTCAGGAAGTTCTTCGCAGCCCTACCAAAACTGACCCAACTAACAAATCGTTGTCAATTCGATGGCCCTTCCCTGAAACAGAGACCAGCCATGGCACTTCAATCGCTCGTTGCGACAGAAGACCATGAAAGCGATCAGCATTCCCAGGAAGATGCAGTGGCTCCTTCTCCTGGTGCTGTCTTTGACTGCTTGGCGTTTGGGTAAATTGAGCGTTATATATATAGTTATGATATATATGTATACACATATGCATCGAGAACTCGATCAGTCCATACAATTATGATCCTGTGAATGATTCTCTCTGTTTAAGGGGGTATTCCATATCATTCCGAATAGTGTTGAAAGTGAAACAGTGGACAATATCTCCGAAATCGCCGTTTGACAAATATCGAGTTCTACGCCATTGCATGCTGCCATGCCATTGCCACCAGCCCCGGGCTCCCAATGACGTCGGAGGAACTCGCCCGGCGTCACCGGTGCCAGGAGCCATGCGAAGACTTCTTCAGGGCTCCAGGAGTCCAAGCGACTGAGCCATGTGCCTTGACGATAACTCAGCCAACTCAGCAATCCATAGCAATCCCACAATTATATACGATCCAAATAAATCCAATATAATACCCTACTCAATCTGGAAGTAAGAGAAAAAATATCCATCACTTTGCCTTCACTGATTCACTTCGCATTCACTGCAGAACTTTTCTCAATAACATAGAAATCACATGAAATCACTGAGGGAACTTCACCTATCTCTGGAAGTCAGAAAAAAGTGACGAGAACAGAAAGGATTGTTTTTGCAGCTCTGGAGACCGGCTCGCAGCCCCGCGCCTGCCATGGCCCATGCCGGCCTTCTTCCAGGCTCTGTGAATCTGCTACCAGGAAGCTTCCTATTTGTCGGATGGGACCTCTGAAATACAGTAATGCTATGAAACGCAACATCTGAAACCACCAAATGCAATTCAATGTGCTGTAGGACTGTCTTTAGATGCGAGCGTTTTGGCCAACTGGACTTCTGTAAGGCCTGATCTTTAGCATGAGATCTTGCTCAAAGCTGGGGCTGTGGTGTGGGCCAGTGTGGGGGGTGCAAAAATTTGATGATGTGGTGGGTCCACCATCTTGAGACATAGCGGTAGAGATCAAGCATGAGCAAACTTCCACCAAAGTCACGGAATTCCTTTCGTTTGATTTGCTGCCAATCCTTGCAAGGTTCTTAGGAGCCACAAACAGCCAACAAGGAGCCGTGTTTGAAAAAGATGTTGGGGAAAGCTGGTCCAAGTGAGGAGAAACACCGAAAACTCCCGCTTTTTGCATGCATGCTGCACAACACATCCTGCAGCATCAAGACATGTCACAAGTGACAAGTACCCACGGTATCGCGCAGCCTTTTCCAGCAGGAGCAGCGACCGCGGTCTGTACATCAACATCGCCTGTACAAGCTCCGAGCCGATAAGTAGATCCTTTAAAGCAAATCAAAGTCGCGGATCAATCTTGGCCGTCTTTGTGTTCTACATGTTTCTTCAGCGTTACATAAAGCGTGTCTTGTAGCAGCTGGGGTGAAAAGTCTGGGCCCCACGACTCCTGGAAGTCTTCGGAAGTCAGTTCTTGCCACAAGAGCTCCAGGGCATTGCAACTCGAGAGCGTTCGAAGCAGTGATGCATACCAAAGAACGTCACTGTCCTTGATGCCTCAGGGGGATCCACACTGAAGCTTTAAACTTCCATAACATGATAACTTCCATTTACATGTTGCACCCCTAACTTCCATTCAATTTCACCGACTTTCCACCATTGTAATTACCTGGGATTCCTATGGAAACCAATCGGGAAACTCTTGGCCAACCGGCCTCTGCCAAGCACGAAATCCAAACCCACCTGCAGCACTCGCCTGGGATTGAACTCGCCAAGAGAATCAAGAGATGCGAAGGCCTCGTCTGTTCGTCCCGTGGCAAAGCAGCCCAGGGATTGGTAGCACCAGTTCTGGTCCAGGGATGTAGCCGTCCCATTGCCACCTGGGATCTGACAAGGGAACCTGTGAAAGAACAGGCATTAAAATCATTAAACGATAGAAAACCTTATGAAAACGGTATGAAAACGTTTTCATAATGCTGTTTGCCCTTCTGTTTTGCCCAATATGTTACTTTCCAACCTTCAACGATGCTGGTGTTTATAGTTTACATGTTCCGAGCCTCCTGAAGCAGCCTGTTGGAAGTCTTGAAGCTGGCGACGGAAACCCACATTCGGATTGGCCACGTGTCGACGGCTTTGGATCTGCTCAATGGCTGAATCTGCAGTAAGGCCACAGTGTTTGATGAGAAATGCCGCGAGGATGGTGGCGGATCGGCTGATACCTTGCTGACAATGCACCAAAACATTCTCACCCTGGCCCACAGCTGTTGCGATTGCATCAGCTGCACCATCCAAGTAAGGCAGAATCATCGCAGATTCGTTGTCGTTCACAGCAATCCTCAAATATCGCAAACCTTGGTCCGCATGGAAACAAGGGACTTCTTCATCATTGGTGCAGTTCACCACCAGCTGGATCTTGCCATCCTTCAGCTCCTGCCACTGCATGGCACTCTGATGGCTCCCCAAATACAGCCGTCCGCACACGGCGACAGCAGAGGAGCTCAGCTTGAAGGGGATCTCTTGGGCATAGCCACCAAAGGCAGACATTTGTCGAAAGATGAAAATTCTTGGATTCTCCGGGTGAGAATCCTTTGATACTGTCTGATAAAAGGGTTGACTATGGTGCGGAATCAAAAAAAACAATGAACATTGTTGAACTATTTTGGTTGGGCAATCAGCTGAGTTCGCACTTCAGGTCCTACAAGGTGTCCGCGCTTTCGGTCCAAAATGGTGCACAAGAACAAGAACTTCAGATCTGCTGCAGCCCAATCTGACTGACTCTCTGTTGAAGCAAAGATGCGCAACCGCAAGTTTTCCCGGCCAAAAGTTCTTGGGGAGTTTGCAATTTGGAGCAATTTCTGGTGCGCGCTTCCATCTGGCAAAGCGACAGACGCACTTGAATTGGGGCCTCAAAATTTCTGGCCCGTTGGTTCAAAAGGGAACAAAACATCTGAAACTGCAGTGTACACCCGAGCTGGATCCCATGGGAACAGTTTGGAACACTTCAGACACCACCAGGCGTGGTTGAAATCTTGGCAAAACCACAACTATCATCATTCATCAACTATCTAACTCGCAGTGTTCCCATGAGTGCGAAGTTGCAACCCTTTGATGGCTCTCGGCCAGTCAGAAGGTTTGAAAAGCGTTTCTGCAAATTTCCTCGCGTGTCCGTTGGACCACCCCTTGTTGAGTAGCAGGGGTTGGTGCATGTTTGTACAAGGCACGGAGACAGCGACAACGCATGCAACTGCTGTAAAACTTACCCTGGGTTCAGTTGTTCCAGTTGTTCCAGGTTTTGTTGAAAATTCTAATACCACGATGAAAAAGCATCGCTGGAGGAGACAGACTTTTGGAACTGGTTCCCCCAGCTGATGCAAGTGATCCACGCTGATCCAGCGCACTGCATTTGGTCTGTCCAATGATGCAGCTGCGTTGTTCGTGGATGTTGAATTTCGGAAAATAATTTGAGGTGGGAATTCAACACCATTTGCGAGTCCCAATGTAGTCCCGGCTCCCTGCTACAGGGAGAAGACGATCATTCCATCACAGGTCTTGCGGCCCAGTCGGTCGCAAAGTGCCTGGATCTCAGCATCTGCGTGGATGTCGTAGATAGGAAGCCCCTCCTGTGCAGCCAGTGGCATCTGCGGCGTCGGCGGCATCTGCGTCTCTGGCCGGGAGCTTCTCGAAGAGTTTGATCCGAGAGAGACCGAGAGGGCAGGGATGGCCGGGGCTTGGGATGGGGCACCGTCCTCAAGAGTTGGGACAGTTGACAAGTTGATAGTCATGCATTGCTTCTCTCACCACCTCAATTTCCCAACGAAATTATCCATCCGGAGTTCTCATGGTTGGCTCTTGGTTGGCAACACGCTTTTGGCTTTCTCATATGTTTTTTCACGGTCCTTGTTTCTCGAAAGGCACCCTGGCTGTAGTGGGCCGCAGGTCAACCCAGGTGGTGATGGTCCCATCTTCCCGATACTGTACATAGCCTGTCATGCAGCCACTCCAACAATGGCGTTACATCAGTGCTGTTGATAGGCATGAACGGCAGCACTCATCTGTTGCTTCTTGAACCCCTCCAATGGTGTGTTTCTTAATCCATGCGTTTCTCCACGCATTCCATGCTTTTGTGATAAAACCAACAGCTCCCTCAAAGCTCCAGGGCACTAGGCCCACTAGGCCGGCCCCAAACAGCGTGCCTCAGCTTGCCTCAAATGCAGCCAGAAAGGCGGAGCCAAAATGATGCACATTGCACTTTCCAATGGTGTATTTTAATTTAATCATTTAAAATCTATTTCATGCATTTAGTTTTGGAATGTTTTGGTGGTACTTCAGTTGGAAATCTCCCGGAAAAAGCAACCCATAACTGCCCATAACCTTTAGCTGCCATATCTTCCTATTTCTGGCACCGTCCCATCCAATGTGTCCAACCAGGAAGCTCTTCGGCTCGTTGCTTCATAGCATGGGTCACGAAAGTCTTGATCAAATATTCAAGAAATCGTTCATCCGCTGCTTCACCATTCACCTCGGCGAGCCGCTGCTGCTGCGCCGCTAATTGGCAGTATAGATAGGTAATGTGCAATTTATAGACAGAACATGTGGAACATATGGAACATCCCATGCATCTCATCATGCTTGGCCGCTTGCCCTAAGCCCAAGGCGAAGATCAACGGTTGATCTGTCACACGTTCATCTTGGCGAGAAATCACCACATAATATGCGAGGTTCCTGAGCCGGGCCCGTCATCTTATCGCTATTCTTGGCCAAGATCGGCCATCCCAAGCTCGCAAGAAGCTGACTGTTCTATTCCAAAGATGTGCTGAATTTGGACTGCGAACCGCAGAATTTGGACCGTGAACGTGCCAAAGGTTGCTGAAGGAAATGTTGCAGACTTGACCAGAGATTTGGTGAAATGATGGAAATGCGATAAATCTATAACATGTTGTGAAAAGGGTGTCAAGATCTATTTATGTAACAAAATAAGTGTGAAAGGGTGTTAAGAAGGCGCACAGTGCAAGATGTTCTCTCACCAGTGTGAACCTTGACTTTCTGTTCCAGTTTGTGCAAACGACATAACATCTCAAACAGGATCTTGAGAAATGTGTCAGCAAAGGGGGCAGGGTTGGAAAGACTCGTTGAAGGAACAACTTGAAAAAACTTAAGGAGAAGAATTCCGCGAAATGTCAAGGCTGTTAAGGAGTTCTGATGGAATAATGCAAAAAACCGGGGGTGATAAGTTGTTAAGGCAATGGAGCAACGTATCAGGAGAAGAGTTCGAAGAACTGAGTGACGAGAAGTTGTGCGGGAAGTTTATTGTGCAGGCAGGAATGTCATAATGTCAACATCAGTTTTCCATGACAGAGAAGTTTATCACACAATTGATGGAACCTCAGGGGTCCATAGCAGGACCGTCCAATAAACCTCAAAAATAGGGACTTGAAGATTGAAGACACTTGAAGACAAGCCCTCCCCCCAATATTTACTCAGTGCTCAGACACGAAGAGCTCGGGTAGCTTAAGCTAGGTTACCTTTCGCGACACAGATTTTCATAGATGCTTCCAATCATTCAAATAACTTTTGGTATGAAATGAAGTGAATGTTTGTTTCATGTATTACCTCCAAATTTCCAGACTCGCCACTCGGAGAAGCCTTGAATTTTTGACTGCCCGATGCTCTTAATGCCCACCATCAGACCTTGCTCCTGAGACAAAGGGGCGAGACTTGGGCAACGAGACTTGGGCAACAAAAATCCCCCAAAGAATGGCCCAAAAGCAAAAAATCTAAGAGATATTTTAAATTTTGATATTCTTAGATTCATTTTGTGCCTCTCCGTATCTCTTTGTACCTCGTTCAGCATGGGGACAGCATCAGCAACTCCCACGACTCGGCACTCCCACGACTCAAATCCTGCATGTTCTTCAGCGCGAGAAAGCATCGGTGGCATGCCTCAGCATCCACGAAGTTTACGATGGCGAGGCCTGCATGAGTGGAACGGCCAGCGGGCATGTAGACGAAGTTGTACTTTCCGCCAGCATCGTCCAAGAGCTGTAAGATGGAGCCACGGTTGCGTGTCTTGGAGATCCCTCGCCTAGCAGCACACTGCCACTGCGACACATTGCGACACATGGACTGCTTGAAGAAAATCCACAGCAACGGCATTATTACGAACAAAAACAGAGGGAGTCCATATTGATCTATACAAGTAGTACCGCATAAGGCGGATGGATCTTTCTTCTTCTCTGACTCTTCAACCCACCTCTGCTTTTTCATCTGTCCATATTGTCGGAAGTTTGATTTCCAAACTACCTTCGCTAAACATTGAATTGCCTTTCAATCTTGGTCACCCTCGATCTGCTGCTTCCTGCCATATTTCACCAAATGGTCAAATTTGGTGTGCTTGTACCTGCCTCAAGTGTAGGACATCTATAATCTATACATACACACACACATTAATTTGCAGGACAAGTTGCAATGTCAAAGTGGTGATGTGTGGCCCCAGCTGCCCGAGCTGACTCCAAGATGCCATGGCTGTGCGCAGCGTGGTGTCTACACGGCTGAGGCGGCAAATGCTGCGATGTCACCAGCAACCAGCTGTGATTGCCATGTCCCATGGTTAAAATATGGTACATGGTTGTCATGTTGGGAATCCTTACAATGGGTATATATATATATATAAATCAATAAATATATAGATCCCCATGGATTGACGACCATCCCCGGAAGAGGGGTGTGTAATTCATCTTTTCACCGTGGCACACATGTTTTTTTCACCTGCTGATTCCTTTTTCCACATCTGATATATTTTTGTATGACAACACACGCAAACCCACCCAACAGGTCTAGACCTGGGCTTTTTCAGATGGACTTGGCAAAGGCTTAGGGTCCTTTGAGGACTCAAGGCTTGCTCTTTGTTTTGCCGAGGCCGCTGAAGATGCTAAAGATGTCTAAAGATACTAGATACATAAAGATACATCTAGATACTATTTATTTCCATGTCTAATGATTCTAATGATTCTAATGTGCTTAAAATGCTTCAAGGAAGTGTCCAAATCTGCCGTTCCGATTCGAAGATCGGGATCCAGGTGCCAGATATTGCCAGATGGCACTCGTGGCCTAGCAGCCTAGCGCGGCACCAGCGCAGTGGACATGGAGCTGGAGACCTGGTTGACGCGTTCGATGGCGCGTTTGCTCTCCAAGTCCCAGTCGATTCGCCACACTGCGAAGATGCACGGCACCACGTGGCACAACTTCCCGACGCAGTGCCCAGCACAAAGTCCTGGGACGCCCCAGTGAAAAGCAAAGGCAAAGAGAAAAGCCAAGGGAAAACTCACGCCCAAATAAGCTCGAATGGCCCATTTGCCACTGATACTTTGTTGCCCACAAGATGCCAGAACACCATTGTTATAGGCCTGTACAGCATCAAGACTGCTGTAGATCAACATCAGCCAAACAAGCGTGTCCAGCAGTTGGAGAACAGCGACATTTGTTGTGAAGAGAAGGCCCCATTGACGGGTGAAAATCAACAACAGACTTGCAGGGATGGTCAGCCAGAGGAGTATCAGTCGAAGCCCTGCTTTCTCAGCAATTGCTGCTTCTGTTGGGCAACCAGCACCCAACTGATTACCGACTCGGGCACTGATCACCATCCGCAGGCCACTTGGGATCTGATAACACGTTGTTTGTGTGAGCTGGTAGATGGATAGGGCAGACAAGCAGGTGTCAGGATCTGCTAGCATGCTGGCTGCTAAGGTCAGGGATTCTCCGACAAAATATTCGGTGTTCATCCAAACGCCTGGCAGGGCAATTTCCAAGTAGGGCCCCCAATCTTTGAACGCTTCGCAACTGAAGCCACGCCAAGTTCGTGCACAAGTGGATGAGCAAGAGATGTACACATAGATCAATACAGCCTGAAGTGCAGTACTAATAGTCATAGCTGCACCTGCACCCATGTAGGTCCAAGAAGTGGAGGTGAAATACACAGTCATGACTGCATGAAGAGGCAAGGCAAAAAGAATGACAAACATCCGCGGGTGGTTGTTCTTTTGTGCCACCAGCCAGACCCCGATGGAACGCTGGATGCCCATGAAAGGTGTGACCAACAGAACACAATAAGCATAGCGACCAGCGACAGTGGCAAAATTCTCCCCCATGTGGAGGCCAAGTAAAATGGGTTTGATCAGCACGAGCAGCAAAACACAGGGCAAGGAGCCCAATAACGTGACCAACAAAGCTCTTTGCAGTACCAGGGCCATGGCCAAGTCGTTTCCAGCCCCGAAAGCTTGCGAGGCCAAGGTGGAAATTCCAACACTCAGACCACCAACAACAGAAGTTCCAAGGACATTATTCACACTGCTTGAAAGCGTGACAGGTCCAAGGATCTCTTTTCCCAAATGGCCCACTACTATCCATGTCACCCAGGTAGACGCTCGTTGTAGAAGATTGGCACCTGACACAGGCAGACTTAGCCGGAATTGGTGCCAGGCTTCCCGCCAAATCGCCATGGCGGCAACGCGTGAAAGTGGAACGTTTCGATGGGATGCACGTCTTGGAAAAATCTAGGAAAAATAACTGGCGATACTGCACGATCATTCAACAAACACCAAAATCATCCAGGAAAATGAATGAAAATGAGATCATTCGACAAAAAAAGAACTGACACAATATAAAAATACATAAAATCTGTTCAACTGGCACGTGTTTGGACATGTTTGGACGAGTTTATGACTTCAGTGATGTGTACATCAGTGGCAAGCCTGAACAGCTATGAATAGCTCATGTGGGTTTCACAATATTAATTCGTCTGGTCTTCAAATGGTGATGCATCTGGGAAACTCACGGATGCCCTGCGCACGGATGCCCCTACTCATGTGCATATAATTTGGTCGAACCTTTGCATTTTCTCCTGGGGAATCCGATGAATGAGTTCTGGACATGCCTAGTGACCGTGATGCCAACAAAGATGGCACCAATCAAGTTGAACAATTTCAGTCCAAAATTGGAGATCAAACACTAGTGTGGTTTGGCAGTTTCAACACTACAAGGATGGATCAGAACGAAAAAATCTGCGATTCTCAACGCGGCAACCTGCCCATCAGGCAGAGGAAAAGAAGGTCGCCGCGGCTCGTGGTCTAAGCGCTCAGTGTTCGGCTGCAACCGAGTTCAGCGCTTCTCTGCTTGGCTCTCTCCTGCGAGTGCCGATGGCACGATGTCCAGGTCCATGGTTCTCTTGGACGGGGATTTGGGCCAAACTAAATGAAAGAAACGATCTCGAAAAAGTCTATCTACTAGTTGACTTCTTTGTGTAATACCGCATGTTTGCTGCATATATTTATACACATCGCCATGATGAAGCAAGTTTCCCGCAGGCCAGCCCATTCGCAAAATTCGCGGCCAGCGCCCACCACGCACCAGACCACGGCATGCAACACACTTCGCGTTGGCAAACCGTGGAACAGACCACCAATGCCATGGCGCTTCACCACTGCGGCGAAGGCTCCGTAGGTACTCTCCTTGGGCTGTTCACCGATGGAAGCCTTGGCAAAGGCGAAGGGAAACCATGTGGATCCGAATGTTTCTTTCGTGCCCAATTTTATGAATAGAAATGTAGAAACATATAGAAACACTTGGGTTTAAAATATCCTACAACATATGCTACAACATTCATACAATTCATCTGGAACGAAAATCCGGGTGAAAACCATCCATTTGTGTTTCACAGTTGCAACTTGAACACTTGACAACATGGAATGATAAGTTAGTTTGAAATGCGCGTTGTAAATATCATTCTTGGGCACTTGAAAATGATGAGGTCCGAAACCATGCGCTTAGCATGGCATTGTGATTCGGCTGCCTGTTGATGCACCATCAAATCTTCCCGTCGTCTTGCGCTTTCTGGTTTTTCAAATTTTGGAGGGAAAAACAATGGTCTAGAAAGGCCTTGCACGGTTATACAAATTAAAGGGCAAGAAATGGTGCTCAGCGTCCCAGGATGCAAATGTGGACCAGCGCACGCAGTGTTCCAACGCGTGCTCTGTACCGATGTACCCATGTCATCCCATGTCAGTGTGTGCATATGTGTTTTAAAGGTTTTGGCTTTGCGCGCAGAACAAACACAAACACCGACCGCGTCAAAGCATCATCGAACGAACTTTGTGCTCAAACCGGGGTGCGAAACAAAACAAACTCAAGGACAGGTCGGAGATGCGTTTGCTGAGCTAAACCACAAGAAGAAAAGGCATTCTTCTTACAGGATATGCTTTAGCGCTTTACAGCTTATGCATCTAGAATCAGAACCCAACATTCCGATCAATTCCCCGGAATCAAGTGCTGGTGATGAGTAAAACTTTTGAAAAATAACCTGGTCCCTTAAGCAACTGAAAGGACTGGGTGTCATGCCTGAAATGCTCGGCCCATCATGTGGCCCTTCACTCGATCGAAGGGATAGTTGACGGTGGCAGCCACCAAGCCAGCGAGCATGAAACCAACAGTACCAACCAGAAAGTGAAGACTGGGAGGACATCCACCATTGGCCACCCATTCTCGAAGTCTGCTGTTGTAGAAGAAGAGTTGACTATCAAAAAGTGCTGTGCGGATCACCAGGGGCGTTGCTGCGTAGAATTTCAACCGTGCTGGTGCTTCCCAGGCTCCATGATGCACTGAGCTGTAAATCCGCTTGGTGATCTTCCTCTCCTTCAACCAGGTTTCCTGCCAGCAGTGCCTGGTAAATTCAGCCCTCTGCAACACCAAGATATTCCAGATATTCCAGATCTGCAAGCATGTACCTAGTTCAAAAAGAAACGTGAGACACTACATAGACATAGAACCGGGTGCAATGTTAGAACCAGCCAAAATCACGACATTTTCCCCGGAAACTCCTGCAAAGCCATTATGGTTTTCACCTGTTCCAGCGGTGTTGCAGCCAGACCACACAGAGCACCTATACTTCCACCTGCAACTGCTGGGCGCCAGTAGTCAGGCACGTGATACAAAGCCCAGAAGTTGTCAAAGAAGCGATAGCCTCCAAACATCAAACCACCCATCAACAAAGAGTTGGCACCAACTCCAGGATATCCACGGAAGATTTTCAGCTTGTAGTCCTTCAGAAGACATGGCAAACGAGACAAACGATTGTAGCGGGGATGGCCTGACTGCACTTGGGTCTTCAAAACATCCAAGGGATAGGCCACAAAAGCTGCTTGTGCTCGTAGGATGGCACCCTCTGCTGCTTGCTGCTGAACCAAGGGATCCTCCATGGATTTCGATGCGCTCAACGCCGCTTGCCCGCAGATCTGCCAAATGCCCGCGATGCCCGGGCGCTCCATGGCCGAAGCCATCGCGGCCAACGTGGCCAACGTTTCGGGCGCGACGCGCCACTTCCAAAAGTTATGATTTGTAGATGATTTGTAGTTAATGATGATGATTATTATATGGTTAATGATGGTTATTATATCATCTGATGATTTGTATATGATTTGTTCGGATCAAAAACTCTTTGGTGCTCTTTGTGATTGAGCACTAGTGACTGCACTAGTGCGGTCGCATGGAAGCAGTCGTGAGTTCCTTGTCGTTTTCAATTTACTCTCCGGCCTTTTGCTGGAAAATTGTGGCTCTGGCAATTCCATTGCTCTCACATTTGCGAAGCAACATGTTTTTGATAGTCAGCAGTGGCAGCGGAGGCTCAAGGTACGCTCAGCATGCAACCACACGCCAATCAAAGTCTGCAACTTGTTCTATATGTTCTATTCTAATCTGCAACATTCTCACCCGCCCCAGGTTCGACTCTGGCACCATCCAACTTCGTCCCCCATTTTTCTGCGGCTTTTTGGTCATAGTGGCGTGGCATCCTTCAAGTCACACTGTGCAGCAGCAATCGCCTCGCAGAGTCCTTCATCTCGACCTGCAGATGAAAAATCGAGGCCGTGAGGCCATCTGAGGCCTGGTGGACCCCGCCTGCTGCATCCAGAAGGAGTGCCTCCAATGTGCCCCGGCCTCGCCGAAAAAACGAACAATGAAAAGCATGAAAAAAATCTGCAAAACGCCTGCAGAAAAGCTAGGCTTCGTGCGTAGACAGGAGATCTGAGGTGCCCAGTGTTCCATCTCCTGCACAGAAACCACTGGAACTGAATTTCATGGCTTACTGTTCCGACATTCCAAACGTGTTGTTGAATGAAACATGAACCTCGCCTTTGCAGCCAAAGCACTCACATACTGAAGCCAATGAAAAGGGTAGAGAACTATTGCTAGTCTGTGTTGCCTCAGTCCTGCTGACCCCTGATAAAAACTTCCCAAACAAAGTCTGAAAAGTGGAACAGTACATGTTACCATCACTCTTTACTCTAACATCCACGTCGACAAGTCACAAACCATGTACAGTAGGATTGAAAGAGCCGAAGATGAGAATTGACAAAATCAAGTCTTTCAACAAAGCCACAACACCAGCAAGCAAATTCATCGGAAGTCCCAACTCAAGCTGCACATAAGGAAACAAAGTCCAAGATATCATGTTGCAGGTGATATAGATCCGTATATCCATCAGTCTGGTTCCACGTGTTTGACAAACTAATGGGTCAATCTCTGGAGCCCTGCCTTGGACAATTGCCTAAGCGCCACACACATCGCACACGTAGCATGTACCAACAGATTTTGATAGGGTGTAATATGTGTAGTGTAGTAAAGACTGATAGGCTTAAGGTCTCGCCACCAAGGCTGTGACGGCCTCATTGGCTGCCCAGAATGTTTTGACAAAGCCTTGCTTGGGCTGCTTTGGGACCAAAGCACCTGCAGGCAGCTAAGCCAAGCAACGCCAGCAAAGGACAAAGAACAATCAGTGACCTCCCACTCCCACTTCGAGCCTCCATTTCTTCACCTCGCACAGGCCAATGCAGTGACATCTCCATCTGTAGCATAAATCATAAACAAAACGTCCTGCATCTGTGGCCAACGCTGCCTGCAAGCTGATCCGCAGAAGAATCCACCTCATGTGATCAACGTGATCGACGTAAGGAGGTCCGGGCTTCACTTCAACCCAGCGGATTTGCTTGGAAAACCATTTCAACATGCCTCTCCCGATAGAAGACCATCCTAAGCTTGAATCTTCATTTGACCTGCACTCTGAGGAATGTCTCTATCAACCTCCGGCTGCACCAACAATTCCTGATAGGGGCCCAGCTTCACTCAGCAAGTGCCCAGAGAAGCATCGCAAGACCTGCGCTAAAAACGGGAAACAGATCTGACTAACTTTGCAATCATGGCATCAACTGTTGAGTTACAAAATTGCATTCCGAAAGCAGCACATCACTGCAAATTGGTCGGGGATGAAAGGCTCGGCTTGACTTCGGCTGAGGACAGGACGTCACGAGCAGCTTCTTCAGCGGCTTCTGCTTCCATCTTGGCCACCTCAAAAGAAATGTGGAAAATTCTGCGTTTTTCGTTTCACCTTTGAAAGAAACCAATGCCTACACAAGAAACATCAGAGACAACGAATTAGGCTCAAACCTCAGCCTCTCGTTCTGCTTGTTCTGCTCGGGCTAAAGCTGCAGCTTCCGTCAATCTGCGCTTGGCCGGGGGTTCCACCGATTCCACGTTCTCATCGCTTTCCCTTTGAGGAACATCAGCAGTAAGTGAAGAAAGGTCTGCACGCTGAAGTGAGGATGAACCGGTGTCATCTGCCTGCAGTTTGCTGTAGGATGTGTCCCACGCAAGCTCTACAGTGTGCTGAGCACCACCATCTGCAAGCATCACAAAACGCTTCTCAAGCTGTTTGGATGATACTCGGTATGGTCTCAGTTCATCTTCAGGATCTTCCTCAATATCATGGGGATTTTGAACATCTCGAGGTCGATTGCCTAGCTGATGGGTCAAGCCACAACCCCAAACGAAGACATCTCCATCTTCAGAAGTTGCCATCATATGATGCCCGCCGCAACGCAAAGACCGAATGCTGGGCAGCCCTGTCACTTCTCGAGGTTCAAGCACTGGAGGATCCTTTTTGGTTCTTGCAAGTCAAATCTATGAAAATCAAAAGAACTATGCTTCTCAGGTGCTACCCTCTTTCCACTCAAAATACCGGTTCCTACTCCAGAGCTTCAACAGAACATGCAAACCACGCAAACTAGGAAGAGGATGATGAAACATGATGGCAAAACATGTCTCTGGCTGTGCCAGCAGGATGTTCCGGATGAGGCCAGAGAACTTCAGTGAGAGGACAATAAAAAACATACATAATATGAAATAATATGAAAGAATATGAAAACTTGATCATTTTCTTGTCCTCAGTCCTTCTCCCCAAGGCCGAGACCGCACTCCTCTGCCTTGCCCCAGGTGAAAACACGACCATTTGCAAGAGCTGAAGTACTATGCAAACCACCACCCAGCCAGGATGCTTCCTTCAGTCGGCGCACGGGTCTGAGCGTTTGCACAGCCATGCTGGCAAAGCCAAGCCCAACTTGCCCATCACCATTGAGACCGCATCCCAAAACTCTGCCATCATTCACTGTGACGAAGGTGCACTCGGCGCTTGCAAAAATGTTTTCAACATTGGAAGCTTCCACACCTGCTGCGCTTAAGCACACATCCTGGGGATGCAGCAGCTTCTTCTTCTCCGCTTTTGGAACCTCCCTGTCAGGGGCTTGCACAATCAAAGATGCTCCTTGAGCAAGTGCTTGCTGAAGTTCCGGAAGTGTCATTTTGTCGGCATTTCTTTCGGTGCCATTGGCATCTTTCAGTCGTGCCACTGATTCCCCAGAAACTTCGCAACCACCAGCACTGCAGGCAACCAGCCCTTCCACCTTGCCAGAAAGTATCTTTTCAGCATATCCACAGCCCACATTGTCAGGCAACCCGAGCTGCCCCGTGGCATTGGAACCCCATGCTACTGCCTTTTTTCCGGCAGGTGTTTCCACCAGTGCAACAGTGTGATTCGCACCACTCGCAATGACAGAGCATCCTTCAAGCACCAAAGTGGGCTCAGCACTTTTCTCTAAAACTTCTGCTTCCTGCTTTCTTTTGTGCACAATGCCAATGTAGCCGTTGGAATCCTTGTATGTGCCCCACAGCCACACACGACCACGATCATCTAAGGCGCAGCTGTGACAATCGCCGCAAGAGACCTTACGAACCACAACACTGTTGTGCATGTCAACCTTGTGGGGCTCTACATCTGAAGGTCCTCCATCTGAACCATCAGAAGATACCCTGCCCAAAGCCCCATCGTCGTTGCAACCCCAGCTGTACAAACCGCCACCTGCAGAGACACAAAGGACATGCATGGCACCTACTGCAATCTCACAGATCTGTTTGCCAACCAATGCTTTCAACAGAGTCGGCTTTCGGCGTTCACGCGTGTCGTCTCCAAGGCCAAGTTGATCGCATTCACCACTTCCATGCACAAATACATCACCCACTGGTACTTCACCATTGCGTGAAAAGTCTGGAAGCTCTGCGAGTTTCTTGCCTTCTGGAGGGACAGTACCAAAGGTGGTGAAGCCAAAGCTAGCTGTTGTGGCTGGTGCTGAACTCGAAGTCGAACCTCCAAACCCAAACGACACACTTCCAACATCTACACTGCCACTCCCGAAGCCAAAGCTTGTGCCTGTTGAGAAGCCTGCATTGCCGAACCCAAAGCTAGAGCTCTGACTGCTGGAGAAGCCAAAAACCACTGGAGCTGCAGCTGCAGAAGTTCCGAAGCTCACAGCTGTGCCAGTGCTTGGTACACTGAAGCCTGTTGGCTTTACGCTTGAAGCTGTCTGGAATTTCGCAACGGTCTCCGAGTGCTGTGCTTCTTTCTCTGCTTCCATCTTTGCAATGTCCTCTTCGGAAAGACCGGGCTGATAACTTTCGCAAGCCTGGCATTGAATGACACTCTTTTCCCATCTCAAGGCGCATGTGTCGCACTTCCACTTGCCATCATCGGCCAACTGGCCGAATCCAAAAGTAAAGTCTGGTTGCGCCATGACCTCGTCAGCGTCTGCTACAGCTTCCGTCAATCTGCGCTTGGCCGGGGGTTCCACCGATTCCACGTTCTCATCGCTTTCCCTTTGAGGAACATCAGCAGGAAGTGAAGAAAGGTCTGCGCGCTGAAGTGAGGATGAACCGGTGTCATCTGCCTGCAGTTTGCTGTAGGATGTGTCCCACGCAAGCTCTACAGTGTGCTGAGCACCACCATCTGCAAGCATCACAAAACGCTTCTCAAGCTGTTTGGATGATACTCGGTATGGTCTCAGTTCATCTTCAGGATCTTCCTCAATATCATGGGGATTTTGAACATCTCGAGGTCGATTGCCTAGCTGATGGGTCAAGCCACAACCCCAAACGAAGACATCTCCATCTTCAGAAGTTGCCATCATATGATGCCCGCCGCAACGCAAAGACCGAATGCTGGGCAGCCCTGTCACTTCTCGAGGTTCAAGCACTGGAGGATCCTTTTTGGTTCTTGCAAGTCAAATCTATGAAAATCAAAAGAACTATGCTTCTCAGGTGCTACCCTCTTTCCACTCAAAATACCGGTTCCTACTCCAGAGCTTCAACAGAACATGCAAACCACGCAAATTAGGAAAAAGATGTAAGAAGCAGGAAGGAAATGAACCATTGACAGTGATATCAAGGATGCAAATGAAATCGGGGAATGATGATGGATTTTAACAGGCCTTACAACGCGAATATAGATAGCGTCATTCATTTTAAAAATATCGGGCAACGTCATCCACACTGACGAAACATGAGAAAAACATCATGAAACAAAATGACAAAGCATCATGACAACACATCTTGACAAAACATCATGACAACACATCTTGATTCAAGAAAGATGCGCCAAGAAAATATGATGATGAAACATGATGGCAAAACATGTGTCTGACTATCCCAGCAGGATGTCCCGGATGAGATCAGAGAATTTCAGAGAACAATAAAAAACATAATATGAAAGAATATGAAAACTTGATCCTTTTCTTGTCCTCAGTCCTTCTCCCCAAGGCCGAGACCGCACTCCTCTGCCTTGCCCCAGGTGAAAACACGACCATTTGCAAGAGCTGAAGTACTATGCAAACCACCACCCAGCCAGGATGCTTCCTTCAGTCGGCGCACGGGTCTGAGCGTTTGCACAGCCATGCTGGCAAAGCCAAGCCCAACTTGCCCATCACCATTGAGACCGCATCCCAAAACTCTGCCATCATTCACTGTGACGAAGGTGCACTCGGCGCTTGCAAAAATGCCTTCAACGTTGGAAGCTTCCACACCTGCTGCGCTTAAGCACACATCCTGGGGATGCAGCAGCTTCTTCTTCTCCGCTTTTGGAACCTCCCTGTCAGGGGCTTGCACAATCAAAGATGCTCCTTGAGCAAGTGCTTGCTGAAGTTCCGGAAGTGTCATTTTGTCGGCATTTCTTTCGGTGCCATTGGCATCTTTCAGTCGTGCCACTGATTCCCCAGAAACTTCGCAACCACCAGCACTGCAGGCAACCAGCCCTTCCACCTTGCCAGAAAGTATCTTTTCAGCATATCCACAGCCCACATTTTCAGGCAACCCGAGCTGCCCCGTGGCATTGGAACCCCATGCTACTGCCTTTTTTCCGGCAGGTGTTTCCACCAGTGCAACAGTGTGATTCGCACCACTCGCAATGACAGAGCATCCTTCAAGCACCAAAGTGGGCTCAGCACTTTTCTCTAAAACTTCTGCTTCCTGCTTTCTTTTGTGCACAATGCCAATGTAGCCGTTGGAATCCTTGTATGTGCCCCACAGCCACACACGACCACGATCATCTAAGGCGCAGCTGTGACAATCGCCGCAAGAGACCTTACGAACCACAACACTGTTGTGCATGTCAACCTTGTGGGGCTCTACATCTGAAGGTCCTCCATCTGAACCATCAGAAGATACCCTGCCCAAAGCCCCATCGTCGTTGCAACCCCAGCTGTACAAACCGCCACCTGCAGAGACACAAAGGACATGCATGGCACCTACTGCAATCTCACAGATCTGTTTGCCAACCAATGCTTTCAACAGAGTCGGCTTTCGGCGTTCACGCGTGTCGTCTCCAAGGCCAAGTTGATCGCATTCACCACTTCCATGCACAAATACATCACCCACTGGTACTTCACCATTGCGTGAAAAGTCTGGAAGCTCTGCGAGTTTCTTGCCTTCTGGAGGGACAGTACCAAAGGTGGTGAAGCCAAAGCTAGCTGTTGTGGCTGGTGCTGAACTCGAAGTCGAACCTCCAAACCCAAACGACACACTTCCAACATCTACACTGCCACTCCCGAAGCCAAAGCTTGTGCCTGTTGAGAAGCCTGCATTGCCGAACCCAAAGCTAGAGCTCTGACTGCTGGAGAAGCCAAAAACCACTGGAGCTGCAGCTGCAGAAGTTCCGAAGCTCACAGCTGTGCCAGTGCTTGGTACACTGAAGCCTGTTGGCTTTACGCTTGAAGCTGTCTGGAATTTCGCAACGGTCTCCGAGTGCTGTGCTTCTTTCTCTGCTTCCATCTTTGCAATGTCCTCTTCGGAAAGACCGGGCTGATAACTTTCGCAAGCCTGGCATTGAATGACACTCTTTTCCCATCTCAAGGCGCATGTGTCGCACTTCCACTTGCCATCATCGGCCAACTGGCCGAATCCAAAAGTAAAGTCTGGTTGCGCCATGACCTCGTCAGCGTCTGCTACAGCTTCCGTCAATCTGCGCTTGGCCGGGGGTTCCACCGATTCCACGTTCTCATCGCTTTCCCTTTGAGGAACATCAGCAGGAAGTGAAGAAAGGTCTGCGCGCTGAAGTGAGGATGAACCGGTGTCATCTGCCTGCAGTTTGCTGTAGGATGTGTCCCACGCAAGCTCTACAGTGTGCTGAGCACCACCATCTGCAAGCATCACAAAACGCTTCTCAAGCTGTTTGGATGATACTCGGTATGGTCTCAGTTCATCTTCAGGATCTTCCTCAATATCATGGGGATTTTGAACATCTCGAGGTCGATTGCCTAGCTGATGGGTCAAGCCACAACCCCAAACGAAGACATCTCCATCTTCAGAAGTTGCCATCATATGATGCCCGCCGCAACGCAAAGACCGAATGCTGGGCAGCCCTGTCACTTCTCGAGGTTCAAGCACTGGAGGATCCTTTTTGGTTCTTGCAAGTCAAATCTATGAAAATCAAAAGAACTATGCTTCTCAGGTGCTACCCTCTTTCCACTCAAAATACCGGTTCCTACTCCAGAGCTTCAACAGAACATGCAAACCACGCAAATTAGGAAAAAGATGTAAGAAGCAGGAAGGAAATGAACCATTGACAGTGATATCAAGGATGCAAATGAAGTCAGGGAATGATGACAGATTTTAACAGGCCTTACAACGCGAATATAGATAGCATCATTAATTTTAAAATAGGGCAACGTCATCCACACTGACAAAACAGGACAAAACCTCATGATGAAACAAAATGACAAAACATCATGACAACACATCTTGATTCAAGAAAGATGCGCCAAGAAAATATGATGATGAAACATGATGGCAAAACATGTCTCTGACTATCCCAGCAGGATGTCCCGGATGAGATCAGAGAATTTCAGAGAACAATAAAAAACATAATATGAAAGAATATGAAAACTTGATCCTTTTCTTGTCCTCAGTCCTTCTCCCCAAGGCCGAGACCGCACTCCTCTGCCTTGCCCCAGGTGAAAACACGACCATTTGCAAGAGCTGAAGTACTATGCAAACCACCACCCAGCCAGGATGCTTCCTTCAGTCGGCGCACGGGTCTGAGCGTTTGCACAGCCATGCTGGCAAAGCCAAGCCCAACTTGCCCATCACCATTGAGACCGCATCCCAAAACTCTGCCATCATTCACTGTGACGAAGGTGCACTCGGCGCTTGCAAAAATGTTTTCAACATTGGAAGCTTCCACACCTGCTGCGCTTAAGCACACATCCTGGGGATGCAGCAGCTTCTTCTTCTCCGCTTTTGGAACCTCCCTGTCAGGGGCTTGCACAATCAAAGATGCTCCTTGAGCAAGTGCTTGCTGAAGTTCCGGAAGTGTCATTTTGTCGGCATTTCTTTCGGTGCCATTGGCATCTTTCAGTCGTGCCACTGATTCCCCAGAAACTTCGCAACCACCAGCACTGCAGGCAACCAGCCCTTCCACCTTGCCAGAAAGTATCTTTTCAGCATATCCACAGCCCACATTGTCAGGCAACCCGAGCTGCCCCGTGGCATTGGAACCCCATGCTACTGCCTTTTTTCCGGCAGGTGTTTCCACCAGTGCAACAGTGTGATTCGCACCACTCGCAATGACAGAGCATCCTTCAAGCACCAAAGTGGGCTCAGCACTTTTCTCTAAAACTTCTGCTTCCTGCTTTCTTTTGTGCACAATGCCAATGTAGCCGTTGGAATCCTTGTATGTGCCCCACAGCCACACACGACCACGATCATCTAAGGCGCAGCTGTGACAATCGCCGCAAGAGACCTTACGAACCACAACACTGTTGTGCATGTCAACCTTGTGGGGCTCTACATCTGAAGGTCCTCCATCTGAACCATCAGAAGATACCCTGCCCAAAGCCCCATCGTCGTTGCAACCCCAGCTGTACAAACCGCCACCTGCAGAGACACAAAGGACATGCATGGCACCCACTGCAATCTCACAGATCTGTTTGCCAACCAATGCTTTCAACAGAGTCGGCTTTCGGCGTTCACGCGTGTCGTCTCCAAGGCCAAGTTGATCGCATTCACCACTTCCATGCACAAATACATCACCCACTGGTACTTCACCATTGCGTGAAAAGTCTGGAAGCTCTGCGAGTTTCTTGCCTTCTGGAGGGACAGTACCAAAGGTGGTGAAGCCAAAGCTAGCTGTTGTGGCTGGTGCTGAACTCGAAGTCGAACCTCCAAACCCAAACGACACACTTCCAACATCTACACTGCCACTCCCGAAGCCAAAGCTTGTGCCTGTTGAGAAGCCTGCATTGCCGAACCCAAAGCTAGAGCTCTGACTGCTGGAGAAGCCAAAAACCACTGGAGCTGCAGCTGCAGAAGTTCCGAAGCTCACAGCTGTGCCAGTGCTTGGTACACTGAAGCCTGTTGGCTTTACGCTTGAAGCTGTCTGGAATTTCGCAACGGTCTCCGAGTGCTGTGCTTCTTTCTCTGCTTCCATCTTTGCAATGTCCTCTTCGGAAAGACCGGGCTGATAACTTTCGCAAGCCTGGCATTGAATGACACTCTTTTCCCATCTCAAGGCGCATGTGTCGCACTTCCACTTGCCATCATCGGCCAACTGGCCGAATCCAAAAGTAAAGTCTGGTTGCGCCATGACCTCGTCAGTGTCTGCTACAGCTTCCGTCAATCTGCGCTTGGCCGGGGGTTCCACCGATTCCACGTTCTCATCGCTTTCCCTTTGAGGAACATCAGCAGGAAGTGAAGAAAGGTCTGCGGGCTGAAGTGAGGATGAACCGGTGTCATCTGCCTGCAGTTTGCTGTAGGATGTGTCCCACGCAAGCTCTACAGTGTGCTGAGCACCACCATCTGCAAGCATCACAAAACGCTTCTCAAGCTGTTTGGATGATACTCGGTATGGTCTCAGTTCATCTTCAGGATCTTCCTCAATATCATGGGGATTTTGAACATCTCGAGGTCGATTGCCTAGCTGATGGGTCAAGCCACAACCCCAAACGAAGACATCTCCATCTTCAGAAGTTGCCATCATATGATGCCCGCCGCAACGCAAAGACCGAATGCTGGGCAGCCCTGTCACTTCTCGAGGTTCAAGCACTGGAGGATCCTTTTTGGTTCTTGCAAGTCAAATCTATGAAAATCAAAAGAACTATGCTTCTCAGGTGCTACCCTCTTTCCACTCAAAATACCGGTTCCTACTCCAGAGCTTCAACAGAACATGCAAACCACGCAAATTAGGAAAAAGATGTAAGAAGCAGGAAGGAAATGAACCATTGACAGTGATATCAAGGATGCAAATGAAGTCAGGGAATGATGACAGATTTTAACAGGCCTTACAACGCGAATATAGATAGCATCATTAATTTTAAAATAGGGCAACGTCATCCACACTGACAAAACAGGACAAAACCTCATGATGAAACAAAATGACAAAACATCATGACAACACATCTTGATTCAAGAAAGATGCGCCAAGAAAATATGATGATGAAACATGATGGCAAAACATGTCTCTGACTATCCCAGCAGGATGTCCCGGATGAGATCAGAGAATTTCAGAGAACAATAAAAAACATAATATGAAAGAATATGTAAACTTGATCCTTTTCTTGTCCTCAGTCCTTCTCCCCAAGGCCGAGACCGCACTCCTCTGCCTTGCCCCAGGTGAAAACACGACCATTTGCAAGAGCTGAAGTACTATGCAAACCACCACCCAGCCAGGATGCTTCCTTCAGTCGGCGCACGGGTCTGAGCGTTTGCACAGCCATGCTGGCAAAGCCAAGCCCAACTTGCCCATCACCATTGAGACCGCATCCCAAAACTCTGCCATCATTCACTGTGACGAAGGTGCACTCGGCGCTTGCAAAAATGTTTTCAACATTGGAAGCTTCCACACCTGCTGCGCTTAAGCACACATCCTGGGGATGCAGCAGCTTCTTCTTCTCCGCTTTTGGAACCTCCCTGTCAGGGGCTTGCACAATCAAAGATGCTCCTTGAGCAAGTGCTTGCTGAAGTTCCGGAAGTGTCATTTTGTCGGCATTTCTTTCGGTGCCATTGGCATCTTTCAGTCGTGCCACTGATTCCCCAGAAACTTCGCAACCACCAGCACTGCAGGCAACCAGCCCTTCCACCTTGCCAGAAAGTATCTTTTCAGCATATCCACAGCCCACATTGTCAGGCAACCCGAGCTGCCCCGTGGCATTGGAACCCCATGCTACTGCCTTTTTTCCGGCAGGTGTTTCCACCAGTGCAACAGTGTGATTCGCACCACTCGCAATGACAGAGCATCCTTCAAGCACCAAAGTGGGCTCAGCACTTTTCTCTAAAACTTCTGCTTCCTGCTTTCTTTTGTGCACAATGCCAATGTAGCCGTTGGAATCCTTGTATGTGCCCCACAGCCACACACGACCACGATCATCTAAGGCGCAGCTGTGACAATCGCCGCAAGAGACCTTACGAACCACAACACTGTTGTGCATGTCAACCTTGTGGGGCTCTACATCTGAAGGTCCTCCATCTGAACCATCAGAAGATACCCTGCCCAAAGCCCCATCGTCGTTGCAACCCCAGCTGTACAAACCGCCACCTGCAGAGACACAAAGGACATGCATGGCACCCACTGCAATCTCACAGATCTGTTTGCCAACCAATGCTTTCAACAGAGTCGGCTTTCGGCGTTCACGCGTGTCGTCTCCAAGGCCAAGTTGATCGCATTCACCACTTCCATGCACAAATACATCACCCACTGGTACTTCACCATTGCGTGAAAAGTCTGGAAGCTCTGCGAGTTTCTTGCCTTCTGGAGGGACAGTACCAAAGGTGGTGAAGCCAAAGCTAGCTGTTGTGGCTGGTGCTGAACTCGAAGTCGAACCTCCAAACCCAAACGACACACTTCCAACATCTACACTGCCACTCCCGAAGCCAAAGCTTGTGCCTGTTGAGAAGCCTGCATTGCCAAACCCAAAGCTAGAGCTCTGACTGCTGGAGAAGCCAAAAACCACTGGAGCTGCAGCTGCAGAAGTTCCGAAGCTCACAGCTGTGCCAGTGCTTGGTACACTGAAGCCTGTTGGCTTTACGCTTGAAGCTGTCTGGAATTTCGCAACGGTCTCCGAGTGCTGTGCTTCTTTCTCTGCTTCCATCTTTGCAATGTCCTCTTCGGAAAGACCGGGCTGATAACTTTCGCAAGCCTGGCATTGAATGACACTCTTTTCCCATCTCAAGGCGCATGTGTCGCACTTCCACTTGCCATCATCGGCTGCCAATTGGCCAAATCCAGACCCAACAAAGGAATCAGCCACATCAAGAAAAGATGGAAAGACTGCATTCTCGGTAGGATCATCTGCCATGGCCACGCACGGGCGGATTGATTTGCCTCAATGTTTTCTCTTTTGCTTACGGTAGCGACGTTCTTTCATTTGAAGGTGTCATGTCATCTGTATTGTGGCTGAGTCATTGAGAATCTAGTCTAAACCTCAGGTATGAAGTTGAATATGACTAGATGACTAGATGACTAGATATGACAAGAGTGAGCGCCTTTGGCACTCAGTAAATACTTACTAAATCACGTGTTGAAGAAGTTTTAAACATTTTGAGCCAATGCCTCACGGTATGGGTACATGCACGGGTGATTCTCCGCTGGACGATTATTCAGAGCAACTCATGTTCAATATCCAATACACTCTGGCGGGGTCTGGCAGCTTCTGGTTGAAAGTAGTTCACTGCTGTTGTGCAAATATCATGAAATATCATGAAATACCACATGAGAGGCCCGGTGAAAGCAAGTGAGATCTCAAGTGGCAGCACAACAAGCTGCATGTCTTTGCATGTCTGAGCGTCCTTAACCAAAGCAAACCGACTCTTTCCACAGGGTCCGTGCGGCTGAAAAGCAGCACTGAAGGCAGGTGTATATTTTGGATGGAAAAACAGTTCATATCACTGATCACTTTCGAGTTGCGGCCCACCAGCAGCAAATCAAAGTACACCATGTTTTTTGGCCCAAGAAAATCAACAAAGATGCTGCCTGCACACTGTTCTTTTGTTTTTTTGGTGATGTTTGGTTTTCTGCGCATCTTCTTCGCTACGGGTGAAAGCCAACGTCATTGTTTGGAGCACTGCCACCCCGCCTTCAACGGAGGTGACACTGTTGAGAGCATGCTTACAAAGTTTGTAGCATGCAGAAACTGGAGGTGAATGGGTGAAATTCAATTGAGTGACGAAACCACCAGAGTTCCACTATTTCAAACACAACAATCCATTTTCATCTCCTCACCATCATTTTCCATCGTTTCGAGATCGAAATCTGCTACGTGTGGCCGTTGCCAATGGCGCCATGTTTCACGTGTTTCAGGTGTTTCACATCGTCACCAATCTGAAGAGTGATGCCTCGGATCAAGCGCAAGAGCTTCAAGGTTTGGATCGTCCATATGGGCACGTCCAACAGCACCAGGTTCAGCAGACCTCCGGAGAAATCATCGCAGAAATCAACAGAGAAATGTACCCGGAATCAACACGTATCAACACTAGCAGTCACTGGCAACGCAACAAATATCAATCAACCTGTTGAAATCAATTCAGAACTTAGCAGCTCTGCTGGAGACCAAAGTGGCCAATCCACAAACCTGTTTATATTTTGTGGTTTCTTCGCCACAGCCCTACGTCCATGACAACCCATGACAAGCCGTGCCACACGTGCCTTCCACAAATTCATTTTGAGTCAGAGTTCCCCCACCATCAACGTCCAAAAGCTCGAAAAGATCTGTCATGCTATCCACGGACACCGTTTCCAAAAGTTTCGGAGGTAACATGTCCAAGGGCACATGCGCGATTTCCTCCCGCGTGATGCAGCCACTCTCGTCCGTGTCGAGCCGATGAAAGATGTCCAACAAAGCGGGCAAAGCCGCCTCCAGAAAAAAAGGAGGAAAACAAATTTCAGGCAACAAAAGCTATCAAATCCCGGAATTCAAAGGCACCACAATTTCAGAGACATGTCCCCGGGTATCTTTGCGCATTGCTGGTAGGAAAGTTGTTCAAGTTTTTACTCCTCCCGGCCCTGTCCCTCCTTAGTGTCCTTCCCTTTCCCTTTCCCTTTCGTTTCCCCTTCCTTTCCCTTTCCCTTTCCCTTTCCCTTTCCCTTTCCCTTCCCCTTTCCCTTTCCTATTCCCTTTCCCTCTCCCTTTCCCTTTCCCTTTCCCTTTCCCTTTCGTTTCCCCTTCCTTCCCCTTTCCCTTTCCCTTCCCCTTCCCCTTCCCCTTCCCCTTTCCCTCTCCCTTTCCCTTTCCCTTTCCCTTTCCCTTTCCCTTTCCCTTTCGTTTCCCCTTCCTTTCCCTTTCCCTTTCCCTTTCCCTTTCCCTTTCCCTTTCGTTTCCCCTTCCTTTCCCTTTCCCTTTCCCTTTCCCTTTCCCTTCCCCTTTCCCTTTCCCTTTCCCTTTCCCTTTCCCTTTCCCTTTCCGCTTCCCTTCCCTTCCCTTCCCCTTCCCCGTCCCCGTCCCCGTCCCCTTCCCCTTCCCCTTCCCCTTCCCTTTCCTTTCCTTTCCTTTCCTTTCCTTTCCTTTCCTTTCCTTTCCTTTCCTTTGGCTTCGTGTCCTCACCTTTCTACCTTTGCTGTCCTCATAGTCATTCCCTTTTCTGTTCCTCCCCCTTTCCATTTTGTTCCTGGTTTTCGTTTTTTTTTCACTTGTCGCTTCCTGTCCTGTCCTGGCGTTACCTCTCTCTGCCTCAATGCCTTAACGGTCCTTTGCTTTTCGTTTCCCTTCCTTCCTCCTGCACCCCTTCTTTGAAAATATTGTTGATGGAACAGTCGTGGAAAAACTGATAAAACTATTGAAAATTAGTGCCTCTCCCTGGTGGAAAACTGCCTCTTGGCAGATTTCTGCCGTTCACACGCCAACTAAATGGTTTGGTTTGTGTCAAACACGCGACTGCTTAGTCATTTCGAATGTGTATCTTTTGCGTTTGTTCCCGTTTCCCTCGGTTTGGGCCTTGATCTTGCTTTTGGTCTTCAAACGTTCTGCTTCTGCCTCATGCGCAGCATATTCCAAGGCATGCTCGACCAGCACAGCTGTGACCTTGCGATGGTTGTTTTTTAACCTCCTCTGGGCAGCAAGAAAAAGGAGAAAAACATCATTCCACAACTAATTAACACCTGCCCAAGGATTCACATTTGGTCCGTGGATTTCGAGTCACAGGCATTTCATGCGAAGGGTCAAAACCTGGAACTAGGCCGTGGCACAACAAAACACTTATGTTATACCAGATAGTGCCCGGCCCGCGCCGGGGCGGAAGTTTCGAAAAAACAAGTGCTGATAAAAAAAATCAGTTGCCGTTCTTGTGATGCAGAATCCATGGAGTGTTGAAGGTGTGAGGTGCATCAACGAATGAGCACATGGTTGTTGAGATGACAATACAATGGAAGAATCCATGCACAGCCCACTGAATGAACGAACGAATCAAAGATTCGACGAAGCAATGAATCAGTGGATCAATGAACCAACAAATCAACACAAGAATCAGGGCATCACACAGAATGAATGAAGCAATGAATCAATGATTCAACAATGGAACGAATCAATGAAACAGTGAACCAACAAACCAATGAATCAATGAACCAATGGTTCAACAATGGAACGAATCAATGAAACAGTGAACCAGCAACCAATGAATCAATGAACCAATGGTTCAACGACTCAATGAATCAATGAATCAGTGAGTCCGCAAATCAACGAATCAATGAAACAATAACCGAACGTTTCAGTGAGTCACCGAAGCACGGGCATCATTGAATCAGAGAATGACCGAATCAAGAAAGCAATCAATCATCAACGATTCATCAAAGAATCAATGAATCAATGTTTCTCTGATGCTCCCACGCGCAAACAGCTCTTGCTCACTATGTTGTTGACACGATGATGCTGATATGAAGATGACATGATGACAAGACTGCCCCTGGACATTTGTCCATAGTTCGGAAATGTTCGAACCCAACTTCGTTTGACAAAGCTATACACCAGTAGTACCTCACAAGGCGGTGGCGGCAGCTTCAAAGATAGGAAACTATACGAGAAATGAATTGCTGTGGCGCATGGATGGCAGAGCGAATTCACTGATGGACCGAAAGGTGGTTGGAGCTGTGCTTTTTTGAATGGTTGCAGCGGCCAGCTCAACTGCAACTGCTGGATGTACCGTGGTCTAGTGTGGCGCAGTTTTGTTGTAGTTGTAGTTGCGGTTGTAGTGTAGTTGTAGTTGTAGCTGTAGCTGTAGTTGATGTTGTTGTCGTTGTAATGTTGTAGTTGCAGTTATAACTGTAGTTGTAGCTGTAGTAGCTGTTGTAGTTGTAGTCGTAGTCGTGGTTTTAGCGCAGTGGGAGTGGGAGGGGTAGTGGTAGTGTAGTGTGGTGCAGTGGAGTCGAGTTTAGTGTAATGCAGTGGAGTGTAGCGTAGTGTAGTGGACTTGTAGTTGTAGTTTGAGCCGCTATAGTTGATGTTGTTGTAGTTGTAGCTGTAGCTGTAGTTGATGCTTTTGTAATTGTAGCTGTAGCAGTAGTTGTAGTAGTTGTAGTACGTGTAGTAGGCGCACTAGGTGTTGTAAGTGTAGTAGTTGTAGTAGTTGTAGTAGTTGTAGCTGTTGCTGTAGTGTATTGTAGTGTGGTGTGTGTGTGTGTGTCTCGTGGTGTCGTGTAGTGTAGTGGTACTGTGATGCGGTGAGGTAGAGTGTCGCGTCGTGTAGTGTAGTGGTAGTTTGGGCTGTAGCTGTTGCTGTTGTAGTTGTCGTTGTAACTGTAGGTGTAGTTGTAGTGTTGTAGTTGTAGTTGTGGTTGTAGTTGTAGCTGTAGGGTGGTGTAGTGGTAGTTGTGGTTGTAGTTATTGCTGTTGTAGTTGTGGTCGTAGTTGTAGCTGCAGCAGTTGTTTTAGCTGTGGTGTAGTGTGGTGGTAGTTGTGGCTGTAGTTATTGTTGCTGTAGCCGTGGTTGTACCTGTAGCTGTACCTGCTGTATATAGTTATTATAATTATAGTAGTAGTAGTAGTAGTAGCAGTAGTAGTAGTAGTAGTATTAGTAGTAGTAGTAGCAGTAGCAGTAGCAGTAGTAGTAGCAGCAGTAGTAGTAGTTGTTGTTGTTGCTGCGGCTGTTGCAGTTGTAGTTGTAGTTGTAGTTGTAGTTGTAGTGTGGTGCGGCTGAACGTCCAAAAGTGGTCCAAACATGTGCAGTTTTTTTCGTTTTGACTTCAAAACGTGCTTCGCGCCACAACGGCGCGCACTTTTTCGACATTTCAACTTCCAAAAGTGTTCCAACAATGGTGTGTTTTTAGCATTTTGACTTCGACATGTGCTTGGTGCCGCAACGCGCCGTGCACTTAATCAACATCTCAACTTCCAAGTGCTCTGAAGCTGAAGCGTTTTGTACGTTTTGACTTCGACGCGTGCTTCACGCCACAACGCCGCACTTTTTCAACATCTCAACTTGCACCAAGGGTCCGAAAAAATTATGCTTTTACCATTTTGACTTCGAACTGTGCTTCGCACCACAGAGCTGTCCACTTTTGCAGCATCTCAACTTCCAAGAGTGCTGAGGTGCTTTTAGCATTTTGAATTCGACATCTGCTTCGCGCCACAAGGCGGCGTGCAATTTTTCTCCGCACCCGCCGCTTTAGCCAGCCTACTTTTCGAGCCTCCAGAGCCCCAACGCGATTTTTTTACCTTTTCACGCACCTTCATCTTCTTTCTCTTGACTCTTTTTCTTCTCTGATCTTCTTCTTCTCTCTCTTCTCTTCTCTGACTCTTGCACCCTCTGCTTTCCAATCTGATCAAAAGCAACTATGCCAAGATATGCCTAGCAACCAGGTTCATCAGAGCAACGGAGAAGAATAACAAAATCGGCATGAAGTAGATGAGCAGCCAAGGTTTTGCCATGATCAACGGGAAGTACACATCTGCAATCCTGGGAATTGCACATGGACTCCGATATGGACACCAATCAGAATTGACCAATTTCAAACACTACATGTACTACAGAGGTCAATGCTACATACACCCATGAAAAAAACAGTGGCATGACACAGCATGGCACGGTGCAAAACGCAATGTTTGAATGCAAGAAAGCGGCCAACAAAGTTTCTAGCTTCATTTTTTTTTCACACGTGTCATGTTCCTCCGTGGCTCTACGGGATACCATTTTCGTTCAACCACTTTGAAACCAAGAATCGAATCCATGGTAACAAACTGCAGCAAGGTCAAAATTGATCGCGGCAAAGTTCCAAAAGCATGTTGGACAATGCTTTGCGTTTCCGGGTTTGAGCGAAGGTCCACGTCTTTAGTGATAATCTCCACGGCCACACAGCCAAATATAAAGAGCCACAATGCGACCAAACATGTAACCGACAACATGGTATGCCCAGCTGTGAGGATGCCATACACTAAACGCCATATGACTTTGAAATGGCCAACCATCCTCAAGGCCCGAGCGAGTCTCAGCAAACGAAGGCCGCGGACGACCAAAACCTTTTCAAATTCGATCCCTCCGAGTGTGCCTTGTCCAAGGATGGGAGCCACCACCAATGCAATGATGCCAACACAAACCAATGAAAAATCCAACAGAAACCATGGGCTCTTAAACAGTTGGCGGCCACCAACGAACAAACGCAGCGATAGTTCCACTGTGTAGACTGTGAGAAAAGCTCTTTCAATCCAAGTGGCCCACTGGATGTCGCCGTTTTCGATGGATAGCCCTGCTTCAACACCAATCATAATCATATTCAACAAAATGATCACGCCTGTGATGTACTCAAAATGTTTGGAATTCACAAATCTGCATACAGCACGTTTCTGCCGCTGCCACCAACTGAAATCACCAAAATGGTCCATCGTATCATGATCCATCATCACTTCCGCCACCAACTTTTTCAAAGGGCCCTGGCTCACTTCAAGTTTTTTGGGTTGCCTGGAGCGCCGAATATCAGTGGAAGGAGTTGAATCTCGGCCCAGTGGTCGGCTCTCACCTTCAAATTCGTCAAGCCGAATGTCCAACACTTCAGGGAAATCACCGGATGGTGCCACGGGCCGCTCGGGCTGCACATTTACCTGCGGCATTTTCATGGAATCCGCTTTGGCCAGCAGATCTGCCACTGTTTTTTGCCATTGCTCATGTTGGTGCTTCAAGATGTCCATCCGTTCCATGGACACTTTTTGCTGCGCCCGAATTTCTGAAATGGCATCTTGCAAATCCATTGCACGCAATACCGCCCAATCCTATTGCACGTTGGCTTTGCCAGGCATGCACCTATATACCGGTGCTTTCTGGAATGGAGCCAATCAAATCATAGGCGCAACCTTTTCCATTTCTTTGATATTTGCTGCTGCCGTGGAATCCAAAACTTGTCAAAATGAGTGGAAAAGGCATTTCCCATGCATGCCGCTGAAACAAAAATACGAATCAGTATGCAAAAACAACTCCCATCCATACTTTGCCCTTTTATGTGTTTACTGGGTGCGCTGGCCCAATGTTCACCACTGAACTCGAAGAAAGGCCGCCTTACTGCGAACCTATTTCTTTCAAAATAACGCCTGGTAGGCCAGCGGTTCAACCCCTGATGCGCTGTGAGCCAGTTTTATTTCAAAACGCGCCGCTTGACTAAAATTGAACAACAACAACAACAACAAGAACAACAACAACAACAACACAACAAACAAAAAGACCTAACGAACACAGTGACACCAAGGGACAACAGTTGCAACCTGTTTTTGTCATGTTTGAGCCAAACAAGTCACGTGTTTGGCGGTTGACTTGGACGGATGCCTATACACCTGCATCATATGAAAATACACGTGTGCGTTTGACCCTAATCTTTCAAGCCCCCCTTATACTGAACTGTACAAGGTCAACCGTTAACAACAAACTACCGGAAGTTCATCAGGCCTATGCCAGAATGACGTATTTCAAGGCTCGGATGTATTCCAGGCAAATGACAAACCAGTTCCATCACAAAGCCCCTTAAGCCTAGCAATTATGATTACATACGCTTTACAGATGCTTAATTACCAATGCATGATATCCAAAAGGATTTTGGAGGGGTGCCGTGGCAGCTAGCCTGCTTTATGCAAAGCGAGAAATTACCGATGTTTGAAAGCCAACCGGCTGCCGTGCAAGTATTAATTCCCGATGCACGGATGCAGGAGCGGCGCTGTCGCAGCCAACCTCCATTAGGCACGAATACAGCACCCGAAGATACGACAATGAGAGTCCAATGACACATCCACAAGACACGACTCAACAAAATCCAACATATGTTGTCTTTATTTATTGATTTTCAATGTATACATAATATTAATATTAAAAATATTTTTATTAAAAAAAAAAACAAATGCTTTTTGCCGCCACCCATGGCCGGGATGACTCCCGAGAGACCCATTTTGGCCACAATTACCCCTGCAAGAAATGGATGCAGATGTATTGGATGATGACGAACTTGTTGGTCCAGAATAGGATTCTGAGCGCAGCGTGCCTTCTTTGGATGCAATTGCGGCCATTGTATGGGCACGTCAAGAAATTCAAACGGCTTTGGGGCCAGTTGAAACCAGTTTGACCAACATGGGTGAAAGATTTGAACCCTGGAATCCCAAGTGACCAAACAAAGCACCCCACTCGAGGGTTTGATTGCTGCAAACGGTCCGGGCACAACAGCATTGTGTGAGCTGGACAACAAATTGGCCGAACTCTAATCCCAAACCGATTCCTTGAAACAGACCAATCGCATGCAACAGGGTCCCGTTCCGAACATGTCCGGCTTGGCCAAAACCATGGTGGTTAGTGGATTGGGTGGTTTAGGATCTTTGCAGGCAGCAGCAAAAAGGTTGAACCAAAAACTGGCAGAGTCGAATGCCCCACGACCAGTGGAAACATACATGAAGTCAGCTGATTTCAATGGATTGCTTTTCGCCAAGTATCGTTCCATGTATGGCAGGGATGTAGCAGTGGTAACTTTTGCGCAGTGCAAAGTTGAAGTATAATCAATTTCAAATCTGGGCGACCCAGGACCTCCTGGTTCCGACATGTGCAAGGACGTTGTTTTTGCTAGGTTTGCGATGAAAGCTTGGCCAATGGGGGCTTGAAATACGTGAAACAGCTTGATAAGGATCGACGAGCAATACACCAACATGACCATTGCTGGCCAAACAATGGCACAAATTTCTTGCAAGCGTGGAGGTTTGAAAGTGGAGTGGGCGCATGGGTGGGCGGCCCAGGATGAATTCCAAACAAATGCACAGCTCCAACGAATCATGGACAAAGCAGCAGCCGTGATGAAAAAACACAGCAAGGGCAAGGGCCTCATTGGGAGTGCTCCGTTCGAGTTTGTAGAAACATGTGCCACCGGCAATCCGTTTTCCGGAACAGAATTCAAACATTTTTCATTTTCCTAAAAAAAATTGCAGGGATGCTTGGAGACCTGGAAGGTTGCGGGTAGGACGCGGGGAAATGCTGCAATCTTGCCATTTGGGGCCAAACTTTTTTCTTCGGCGCAAATTACAAAAGCGGCTGGTGTCGCAATTTTGGCAAGCAAGCAAGCAAGCAAGCAAGCAAGCGAGCGAGCGAGCGATCGAGCGAGCCAGCCAGCCAGCAAGCAAGCAAGCACAGCAAGCACGGGAAGCACGGGAAGCACGGGAAGCACAGGAAGCACGGGAAGCACGGGAAGCACGGGAAGCACGGGAAGCAAGGCAAGCAAGGCAAGCAACGCAAGCAACACAAGCAACGCAAGCAACGCAAGCAACGCAAGCAACGCAAGCAACGCAAGCAACGCAAGCAACGCAAGCAAAGCAAGCAAAGCAAGCAAAGCAAGCAACGCAAGCAACGCAAGCAAAGCAAGCAAAGCAAGCAAAGCAAGCCAAGCAAGCAAAGCAAGCAAAGCAAGCCAAGCAAGCCAGGCAAGCCAGGCAAGCCAAGCCCAGCAAACCCAGCAAGCCCAGCAAACCCAGCAAACCCAGCAAACCCAGCAAGCCCAGCAAGCCCAGCAAGCCCAGCAAGCCAGCAAGCAAGCAAGCAAACAACACGTGAACTCAATAGGGAAATCCTATGTGCAATCCGACCGCCTCATGTATGTCGATTTCATGCAAGTGTCATGGCAGGATTGTCCGAAGTATTTTTCTGTATATGTCACACATGGGGTACCCAAACAAAGATATGGGAGGCTTGGGACTCATGAGTGCTTCACACCTTGCCATCCTAGCGTACTGGGTGTCGTGGGCCGATGTCATCCCTGTTCTGCACCGCCAGACCCCCGTGGTCCACTTGGCAACAATTATTTGTTGAACGCCCCCCACCCAGCCAAGCGACAGCCGTGGACGGCCCCACCCAGCCAGGCTGCCAACAGCACGCCACACTCCCCTTCACCACTGCAGCGCGTGCACAAGTATACAACACCCTCGACCCAGCCAGTCAAGCCATGCTCGACTCACAAACCGGCCCCCTATGCAAGCAGAGCTTTCACCACCATTCCATACACCACCGAGGTCACCTATCCAGATCACACCTTCCGCATCCTCATGCTCCGCCGCCTCCGGCTTCCGTTGCCTCTTACTGAACGCGCCTGTCGGTGCCATCGCACTCTTGACCCTTTGGGCGACCACTGTGCAGCTGCTCGCAATCGGGCAGGGGTCCTCAAAAGCAGAGGGGTACCACTTGAACATGCGGCCGCGCGGGTTTGCCGGGAAGCTGGCGCTCGTGTTACAATGCACACCCGCCAGGAGAGGGATCAAAAAAAAACAAATAGGGATCAAAAAAACAAACAAGGATCAAAAAAAACAAATAGGGATCAAAAAACAAATTTGAAAACTAAAGGAGGAGAAGGAAAGAAAGAAAGGAAGGAAGGAAGGAAGGCAGGCAGGCAGGCAGGAAGGAAGGAAGGAAGAAAGAAAAAAAGAAAGAAAGAAGTAACCTTCTCTTGAAAAATGAAAGGAAAGCTTCCTTCTCTTGACCCCCCCACCCGCTTTTATTTTTTAGCCGGCTCCCCTTGCTACCTACTAGTCTTTTTTCACAAGCATCATCGTTGTTTATTTGGGTTCATTTGATCTTGGTTGATATCCATCGCGACTTGTGCCTATGTACTTCTTTCTTGGTACTCATTGCGGGGGGAGGCGCTGTGCCCTCCCCCCTGCACCCCCCCACCCGCTTTTATTTTTTAGCCGGCTCCCCTTGCTACCTACTATTCTTTTTGTTCACAAGCATCATCGTTGTTTATTTGGGTTCATTTGATCTTGATTGGTATCCATCGCGACTTGTGCCTATGTACTTCTTTCTTGGTACGCATTGCCTGCACACCCCCACCCGCTTTTATGTCTTAATTGACTTCCCTTGCTACCTACTCTCTTTCATTTTTTTCATAGGTATCGTTTCTTTGGGTTCATCTTCTCTCTCTTAATCATTATTTATATCCATCGAGACTTGAGCCTGTGTGCTTCTTTCTTGGTACGCATTGCGGGGGAGGCGCTGCGCCCTCCCCCCTGCACCCCCCCACCCGCTTTTATTTTTTAATCAGCTTCCCTTGCTACCTACTCTTTTTCGTTTTTTTTCCGTATGTATCCCCATTTTTTTTTTAATCCTCTCTTTCCGCAGTTTCTTGACGATTTTCACTACGATCGTCCATATTTGTTTTTTTTGATCCTTATTTGTTTTTTGATCCTCCCTACTCCTACTACTACTACTACTACTCCTGCTGCTACTACTACTACTACCACCACCACCACGACTACTACTACCACCACGACTACTACGACTACGACTACGACTACGACTACGACGACGACTACGACGACGACTACGACTACGACTACGACTACGACTACGCCTACGACTACGCCTACGCCTACGCCTACGACTACGACTACTACTACGACTACTACTACTACTGCTACTACTACTGCTACTGCTACTGCTACTGCTACTGCTACTGCTACTGCTACTGCTACTGCTGCTGCTGCTGCTGCTGCTACTACTACTACTACTGCTACTACTACTACTACTACTACTACTACAACTACTACTACTGCTACTGCTACTGCTACTGCTACTGCTACTGTTACTGCTACTGCTACTGCTGCTGCTGCTGCTGCTACTACTACTACTACTACTGCTACTACTACTACTACTACTACTACTACTACAACTACTACTACTACTACTACTACTGCTGCTGCTGCTGCTGCTGCTACTACAACTACATTTTTTTTTTTGTTGGTCCTTATTTGTTTTTTTGATCCCGTACTTTCTTTTTTTTCGATCCTTATTTTT